ATGTGTCAATATTTAATTCTGTAATGCTATCTGACAGTGTTTCAATGCTATTCATAAAGTTTTCAGTGACTAAATATTCAGAAGCAGTCCATCTATCCTTCTTCCTACTCTGTCTTAATCTAGAAATTCAGCTGAAACCTGTGCACCATGGGTGACCCTGCTGGTTTTAAAAATACCAGTGGCATCGGGTCCAGAATCACAGAAACATGCAAGCCACCAGTACAACAAACTGACATATGAGTGGTGGATTCAATATGTATGCTGAGCAAATATTCCAAAAAACTGGAATTATCTAAAGAGGAGCTTGGTACCAAGATTGGAGGAAGACTCATTAACAACTTGCGGTATACAGATTTTATAACTTTGCTTGCTGAAAGCAAAGAGGTCTTAAAATACATACTGATGAAGATCGAAGACCATGGCCTTCAGTGTGGATTGCACTTCAATGTAAAGAAACAAAAATCCTCAACTAGACCAATAAATTCCACCAGGTGATCCTGACCTAACCCATATTTTCAATAGCCTTATCTGCATGTGAATGTTGGACAATGAATAAGGACAGAAGAATTGATGCATTTAAGTTATGGGGTTGCAGAAGAAAGTTTAAAGTATCGAGGACTACCAAAAGAACAAGCAAATCTGTGTTGGCAGAAGTACAACCAGAATGCTGCTTAGGGTCAGTGAAAAAGAGGAAGACACCAACTAGGTGGATTGACACAGCAGCTGCAACAATGTCTTAAATATAATGAGAAGGGTGAGGTTGGTGCAGAAGCAGACAGTGTCTTCTTCTGTTGTGCATCAGATCACTATAGGAGGGACTAACTCAATGGCACCTAACAACACCACTCAATGTCCCATGGCCAGCAGGTCATGCTACAGGAGAAGAACCCTGTTACCTCCAATTGAGAACAGGATAAATAGTGGGGTCAGCCAGGTGCCAAATCACACACATGCATAAGCAGTACAAAGAAGGCTTACTGTGTTCTCAAAACTAGGAAAGATATTCCCCAATAAACAAGAAGAAGGTGGAACAGAGAAAGAAGTGTAGTTCCCACCTGCATTATCAGGTAATGTTCCAGGTCCAGGAATCTGGGCAGTCTAGGTGATGCTTGCAGGGTTGCATGACAGATCATCCTCAGGTCAAGGCTGCCATGTCCTTCAAGTCACAAGGTAGCATCCTTACCCAGAAACACTGCACAGTTCAGAGGAATCAGTTTCCCTGGTACTACCTTTGAAGTCCATCAATTACTGACATGCAAATTCAAATTGAAGCTGAAGAAAATGAAAACAAGTCTTCGAGAGCCAAAATATGACTTTGAATTTATCCCACCTGAATTTAGAGATCATCTGAAGAACAGATTTGATGCATTAAACACTAAAGACCGAAGACCAGAAGAGTTGTG